ACATTAAAAATGAGCCGTAACATTAAGATATGGAACGGTCTCTCTGATAATAGATAACTATTTGGCAAAAAAATACTTGTGAGTCAGTCCAATTTAAACAGGGAATATTACTGTCATTAACCAGGTAAGCAAACAATGGCGGGTTTTCAGTAAGCCGGTGTGGATCTACACCAATGTACACTGGGATAATCTGCTATATTCCATCACAGTACCTGGAATAATGACATGCAAATATGCCTGTTGCATATCACCAACTCAAAGCCTGTTTGATTCATGTTCATGCCTAATTCGTAAATCAAAACTCAATTTTTCTGTTAGCATGAATGATATATACAGTAGCGGGTGAGGATCATTCTGTGTTAGCATTCGCACACAAACATTTAAATTTACGTTAAGTTCAACATAAAGCTCAAAACATCAGCTTCGTCAGTCAGCAGGGAGACATTCACATTTCTGCACTGATTTAGGGTGGACTTTTGCAGAATTAATTAAAACAGTAAAAATGTTTGAGCTGAGAATACTACATTCTATTAATAGCTGAACATATAATCAAATTAGCCAAAATATTAAATAAACAAAACCGCGAGTGCTTGCAGATTTTCTGAATGACGTCATTCCAATCTTTTGTAACTTTCTGTCGATTTCTGTGCGTGAGAGTCAACTAATAACCAATCCCATCATGTCAGATAATTAACTCAACCATAAAGCCAGTTCAAACAGAACCTGACAATTTTATAAACTTAAATTTTGACAACTAGTGTGCAACGGCTAAAATAGTAAGTGACGAATGTTTTGATGACTTTGGAGAGGTTGGAAAACAAACATCCTGCTTCTTTCACGAGTGCTAACAGCCAATCGAAAGGAAGACAGATTTTTGGCGCCCTGGAGTGTCTGGCCATTGGAGAAGTATGTACAGACGAGTGTTACTGGCGGATGTAAGTGCATTGTTCCTAGTTTCGTGACAAAAGCTCTAATCATCCTAAGTTCAGCCGGTCACAGTTCAGTCAGCTCAGTGGTGGTCACAGCATGTATGTGTCCGTTTATGTTGGGAAAACTATGCTCACGTAAAAGTGTTCTTTCTTTCACCAGCTTCCATGCATGACTGTTTTAAGCGGAAGGCATGTAAATGCTTCTGTAATGAAGCTTTAGAGTGCATTACAGTGTTGGGAGGCTACTTCGAAACTATAGCTTGTGACTAGATATTCATAAATGAAAGCAGTTCAACTACAGTCAAGAAAGAGAGTCTTTGTGTGTGGATTTATGCTATTTTCCAGAGTGTACGTACGTGTTTCGCTTTGACAGTAAAGATGTGCCCTGAGGGTCGAACTGAATATTCAAGGATGAAGATGAATAAGAAGAAAGAAAGAGAGGGTGCTTGAGAGCTGTCGCTAACATCCTCTTCACAATGAAGCTATTGTGGGATCTCCATCAAGAGCACAAAAACCCATCGGCCTTAATCATTTTAAAAGAACACATTTGGTTCAGTAGAGAAGAAAGGGGAGTCCTTTCAACTTTTACACTATATACATTGATATATATATATATATATACATTACAAGTCATGACTACATTACTGGGAACAATGGGAATCTCAATTAGGGTAAAAACATTTAACTTGAAACACTAAATTTGTAATAAATTTGTAATTTAATTAAAAACTCTAATTTAAATAACTGAACCAAAGCACAAACAGCAGTATAGTATACTAAACATTTCACTACAAAAAACAAATTGTACATAAATTCAGTGAATCATTTTTCAAACAGAATGAATCTAAAATAAATCAAACGTAAAAGAAAAATGTTGCTGCAGCATTTCGTTTAAAGGCAGACAACGTATTAGCATTATCAAATTTTTAAGAGTCATGTCTACATCACTACTACTTTCGGAGAGCTCTGTAAGGCCGATGGGGGTGCTCACAGTGCTGTAGGCTTAACGGGGAAATAGATATAAATGTGTTTTTTGGGGCAGCTGGAGTAATGAGGAATGACAGAGACATAATCCCTGTGTGTAACCTCAGTAAACACTGGCAGCGGTGGTGTGGGGAGGGCAGCCGCGGCTGACAGGGTTGAGCCCTGTCCACTTCCCCCTGCTTAAATGGAATTTACGTTGGGTTAGCACCAATGAGAAAAATCTAATTTGCAACTTTATGCCGCTGGCTGAAATCTAATTATAAGATTTCAAGAGTTTTCTCTTACATTCCATTCTGTTAGGTTAGGAGCCTTGTGTTACGGTAAATTGGGAGTCTTGGATTCACTCCATATCACCTGCATGGGAAGAAATTCCCAGCTCGCAATGAAATCTCGCAATGAAATCTCCCAATTTCATCGATGGTCAGCCAGACAAGAGTGGGAAAACCGAGGACTGGAGGAAGTGGATGGATGGAATGAAACATGGAGAAGTAGTTAGTGACTGATAAAGAAGAAGAAGAGTCAGATATGTCCCCTGACGCTACAATGCTCTTCTGAAGAAGTGCCTGTGCGTGAGGAGATGCTAAGTGTCGAACCATCTGCTTTGGACTCTTCAAAGAAGCTCCCGGGCTGAACCTGCCTTCTTAAATGGGGCGTCCCACAGCTACAAAGAAAGCTGGTCAGGTATTACATACGCAGATGCACTGGCTCATCCACAACTTAACAACACAATCCCAACACTGCTTTACAACCGATCAGATAATTCGCCCATCAGCCAAAAAGTCATGTCTTGATGGCAAACTTTATTCTGTGAAAAGCCTAAGAATAGTGTTATGGCACTTACATACTAGAGCAGGGGTTTTCAAACTGGGGTCTGGGGAGTTTAGAGACCAATGAATAAATAAATAAAAATATACCATTACTCATAATAATGATTATTTACCAAAATCACACAATAATATATATATATAACATGAATAGAAAATTTAACATTTTTCAAAAATGTATCAGTTTCCAAAATGTATTAAGTAGTACAACTGTTTTCAATATTGATAATAAGAAATGATTCTTGAGCAGAAAATCAGCTTCTTAATATGATTTCTGAAGGATCATGTGACACTGAAGACTGGAGTAATGGCTGATGAAAATGCCGTCACAGGAATAAATTATATTTTAAAAAACATTAAAATAAAAATCAATTATTTTAAAATGTAATAATATTTCACAATATTAATGTGTTTACTGTATTTTTGATCATATAAAAGCAGCCTCAGTGAGAATATTTTGTGATAAACATTTGAAAATGTGATGCCAATTTGATACAATTTTCTTAACTTTTGGTCACATTGCCTTCACAAATCCTCAGTTTTTTTCTTAAGATGTACCATGTCTATTAAAATCAACAAATTCATAACATTCTTTTACACACTGTCAAATTTAGTCAAGATATAAACACGCTGTTGCACATGAATCTTGCTTTTCACAGACTTTTCACAGAACAAGAGTCGCCATCTAGACACAACCCAGACACGACCCATGACAACAAATGAAGAGGGTACTTTGGATGACTATAGGGTAATTACCAATATTCGGCCGTTACTCTCAGCACTTACTGCCACATTAGGCGGTACCTTCAACAAAGACTCAAATGGGAATGGCTTGATCTTTTAATGTCTGGCACTGATTCTTAACTGCAGCCGGACGTCTGGGTGAAAAAGACATAGACTGACATAACCAATGGCTAGTGCTCATCAGAGGCTCCAGCACCCTGTCCCCCACCACCATGCTGCTTATTTAGAGCCTCTCGCCACAATCCATTTTTCATCCGTACTCTGGGTTTCCTGCTTCAGGAGATGCTTAACGTTACGTTCATCCGCCAGCCCGTGGGGCCAAAAGTTGAGAGTAATGTGATCAGTAATGAATTTTGTGTTACATTAGGCTGTATAAATGGACGGACAAGCGCAGACTACAAGTGTCCGGGAGTCGGGCTTAATCTAATGATGCAAAAATAGAGACAGAACCAATTATGGAGAAGGCCAACTCGGTGCTGCTGCAGGGACTGCAAATGAATAGGTACAAATCAAATTAGTGCCTAATAGACGCGCTACGAGAGAGGGCCAGTCGATGCTAAATGCATTAGGGCCTTGTGACCTCGCTGCTCCAAGCAGCGGCGTCCAGGATCCAACCTCCATCTTCCCCAGATATCAAAGAAAGTCTTGTTCAGACGAGGGGGAGGGCCAGAGAGCAGCAGCTTCCTAAATGAGTTAAACATTTGGATTGTCAAGAGTGGCAATTTCCCCCCTCATTTCGCTCTGTCTCTCCCTCAATGTGAATGACCTAATTTGTTATTGTAAAACCTCTGAAATGTGTCTTTTCCAAGATCTGTACAAGAAATCACGTAAATACGCCAGGACGTATTCTTATCTCAGCGTAATTCAAACAGGATTGAGGATCAGTAACTGATTCACATAGTCACTGGAGGTATTAGCAAGAGCAAATCGAACAAAATAGGGTTTACCACTTTAACTTCGAGGGAGTTAGTTTGCCTTTGAACTTAATGAGCTACTAATGAGAAGAACAAACTTGGCGGATGAAAAGGAAAACTAATACCCGAGTTATCATTACATATTCAAAGTTCTTCTTTCAAATACATCATAGAATTTTAGACTTACCTTCATTAAGATATTTTGAGAAAATATGACTTTCATTATTTGAACAGTTATTCAAACATCATTCAAAATATCTTATTTTGTGTTCCACAGAACAGTGAGTCATACAGGTTTTGAATGACTTAAGGGTGAATAAATTATGACAGAATTAAACATTTTGCATGAAATATCCTTTTAAATCTTTGACGTTAACTGTTGCTTTTAAGGGTATGTTATCTTACATTCATTGGCTACACTGAAAAAAAAATTGGTGTAAAAATAAACGCATTGAATTAAATGGGAACATTTTAAAGACTAATACTATTCTAAATAGAATTCTCTTGTAAAACGTACTTTACAACAACAACACATTTTTTTCCTCCCCAGTGTATATGTCTTGCATTAGTGCACCCCTATCATTAGTGAGAGTGTATGTGCTCACCTGTCCCAGAGCCTACAATGTCTCTGCTGGGCGACTCAGACATTGCATCTGCCAGCCTCTCCTTCAGGCCCTCTTCCGTTGCTTCCACAGAGGACATGTGACGCAGTCCGAAACTCTCAGGCCAGCTGCCACACACCTCCAGCAGGGTGACGCTGCGGTCAAACATGCCTGCCAGAGAAAAACGATAGAGAACAACAGTTCAACATTTTGATTCATAGTTCACACTGCATTAAAGCTCATTACAAGTTAATTTTATCACTGCAAACTGCATTTTTTCTGTCCTTTATGATTTTTCTGTCCTTTATTGTATGATATCTATGATGATTTTAGTAAATTGATAAGAATAACATCGTGCTGGCTTGAAAACAATTCTGTAAGTCTAAAGTCATAATACATAATGAACCTGAAAAGTGTCTATGGCCATACTGGTGTAACTCGGAGGTCATAAACAGCTATCTGTGTTTCATCTGGCACACATAGCAACTCAAGCCCCAGCCGAGCCCCTCTGCCTTCCTCTGACAGGGATAGCGAAGAGGAAATGACTGACCCCTGAAAAACACCACTGTGGGCCAATATGACTTCAAACAAAAACAGTGGGCTCATTTTTTCCCCCAGCAATAAGCACCTAGGCCAATAAAATAGATATTGCATAAGGAGGGGGGGTGTGAAGGATGCACAGTTCGTCTGTCTCCCATGATGCTGCATTTCAGACAGTGCATGGCATTACCGGGGTGTCTTTCTATAACAGATACCTGCTGCATGAAATACAGCTGCTTTATCTGAACGGCCTGTAGGGAGACCCTTTGATCTGCAGGCCAACGGTTATCTGGCCTTGTCTGGCCTCCCCTGCAAACCCTCAGCCACACTCGAGGCCACTGACAGGCGCTAATGTGCGGCGAAGAGAGGAGCGCAGGCGGCCGGTGGCGCAGAGCTGATATGGAGGCAAGAGGCCTGCAGTTATCTGCTGTAAAACACCAGCCCGGCCAGACTCACAGACAGCAGATAACTTCATACCACTTCATAAAAAGCTGTTTGTCCTGTGTCTGCCATTGACTCCTCAAAGCACTGAAATCGCCAGAGTCAACAGGCCTGCCATCAAAGCAACTTCCTGCAGGATGAGTGGGAGTGGCCACCGCACACGCTGCTACAACCAACGGCTCTGAATGTCTCCAAGATACTACATACTATATATATACACTCACCGACCACTTTATTAGGTACCCCATGCTAGTAACGGGTTGGACCCCCTTTTGCCTTCAGAACTGCCTCAATTCTTCGTGGCATAGATTCAACAAGGTGCTGGAAGCATTCCTCAGGGAGTTTGGTCCATATTGACATGATGGCATCACACAGTTGCCGCAGATTTGTCGGCTGCACATCCATGATGCGAATCTCCCGTTCCACCACATCCCAAAGATGCTCTATTGGGTTGAGATCTGGTGACTGTGGAGGCCATTTTAGTACAGTGAACTCATTGTCATGTTCAAGAAACCAATTTGAAATGATTAGAGCTTTGTGACATGGTGGAAGTAGCCATCAGAGGATGGGTACATGGTGGCCATAAAGGGATGGACATGGTCAGAAACAATGCTCAGGTAGGCCGTGGCATTTAAACGATGCCCAATTGGCACTAAGGGGCCTAAAGTGTGCCAGGAAAACATCCCCCACACCATTACACCACCACCACCAGCCTGCACAGTGGTAACAAGGCATGATGGTTCCATGTTCTCATTCTGTTTACGCCAAATTCTGACTCTAACATCTGAATGTCTCAACAGAAATCGAGACTCATCAGACCAGGCAACATTTTTCCAGTCTTCAACTGTTCAATTTTGGTGAGCTCTTGCAAATTGTAGCCTCTTTTTCCTATTTGTAGTGGAGATGAGTGGTACCCGGTAGAGTCTTCTGCTGTTGTAGCCCATCCGCCTCAAGGTTGTGCGTGTTGTGGCTTCACAAATGCTTTGCTGCATACCTCGGTTGTAACGAGTGGTTATTTCAGTCACTGTTGCCCTTCTATCAGCTCGAACCAGTCTGGCCATTCTCCTCTGACCTCTGGCATCAACAAGGCATTTCCGCCCACAGAACTGCCGCTCACTGGATGTTTTTTCTTTTTCGGACCATTCTCTGTAAACCCTAGAGATGGTTGTGCGTGAAAATCCCAGTAGATTAGCAGTTTCTGAAATACTCAGACCAGCCCTTCTGGCACCAACAATCATGCCACGTTCAAAGTCACTCAAATCACCTTTCTTCCCCATACTGATGCTCGGTTTGAACTGCAGGAGATTGTCTTGACCATGTCTACATGCCTAAATGCACTGAGTTGCCACCATGTGATTGGCTGCTTAGAAATTAAGTGTTAACGAGCAGTTGGACAGGTGTACCTAATAAAGTGGCCGGTGAGTGTATATATATGTGTTTGTATGTGTACTGTGACACAATTTATTGAGTCCTTCCTTAACAAAATTAATTAAAAAAAATTGACCTAAACTTTGATGCATCAGCTTACTGGTCAGCAACCTGTCAGGGTCATTGACCTGTTGAAAGTCTCATAATGCACTTTTAAACGAGTTTGGGAGGCTGGCGAGCGCACCTCTGTGAGCGTTATTTTAAAGCAGTCCAACAGCTGAAGGGGAACGGCACAGAGGATGTGGGGTTAGAAGTTCATTCTCACCAATAGGGAAGATCTCTTCATCAGAATGGCTGACAGCCGCCACAGCCCACATTCCACATTATTCACACCCGTCAGAGCTCAGCCTCACCAATTCAATAATAAAAAGCCTGCCGCAGGTTCTGGGTAAGACAAAAGGCCTGAGCCGACCCACGTAGATCCTCGCGTGTTCCTCTCGCTTTTACTTCTTCACTTGGAAATCCTGTCTGAACCACTGAGGTATGAGGACATGATGTTAACATTTAACAGGAAGGAGGAAAAAAACAACATGTTTTTATCATCATAAAACCTATGTTGGTTAGTGGTCTCCTAGATGTTGGCGACCGCAGGACTACTTATCTATTTTTTGAGATTTTCTTTATTTAGTACAAAGAACATTCACTTGACAGCCTTGAGTTACAGCATGTTAACTGAAGCATGCAGGGGACACACATTATCCTGTTTCTGGGCTACAAGGGCCACCAGAGAAGCGTAAACACCTAAAAGAACAGCAAAGGTGGGACTAATTCAATTAGGTTTTATTAAGGGGCCATAAGTGAAATTGAGCTAACAAGCAATTATCCCTAGGAAAGTGTGTTAGACTTGTGTAATGTTGGTCACTTGTATCGAAAAACAAACAGCCTTCTGATGGAAAATGGGCAGTGTGTAAATCACCGGTTGTCATTTGTCCAAGGCGGCATCTGCTCAGACTGCCTCTGCCGAGAAGACCTCCACCTTTTTTGGCCTTTTGCCACTTTTATTTATAAGAGGGTAGAGAGAGGACAGGAAATGATAGGGAGAGAGAGGTGGATCAGAAACAGGAAGTGCCCACATGATCTACATACTTTATGTTTTGGAGCATGTGTGCTTACCACGATCAAACAATCAAAAACACTCTTGGTTTTTCTTAGGTGAATGCACAAACTGACTTTTACTGAAGATAAAATAAAATGTTTAATAGTATATACACTCACCGGCCACTTTATTAGGTACACCTGTCCAACTGCTCGTTAACACTTAATTTCTAAGCAGCCAATCACATGGCGGCAACTCAGTGCATTTAGGCATGTAGACATGGTCAAGACAATCTCCTGCAGTTCAAACCGAGCATCAGTATGGGGAAGAAAGTTGATTTGAGTGACTTTGAACGTGGCATGATTGTTGGTGCCAGAAGGGCTGGTCTGAGTATTTCAGAAACTGCTAATCTACTGGGATTTTCACGCACAACCATCTCTAGGGTTTACAGAGAATGGTCCGAAAAAGAAAAAACATCCAGTGAGCGGCAGTTCTGTGGGCGGAAATGCCTTGTTGATGCCAGAGGTCAGAGGAGAATGGCCAGACTGGTTCGAGCTGATAGAAGGGCAACAGTGACTGAAATAACCACTCGTTACAACCGAGGTATGCAGCAAAGCATTTGTGAAGCCACAACACGCACAACCTTGAGGCGGATGGGCTACAACAGCAGAAGACTCCACCGGGTACCACTCATCTCCACTACAAATAGGAAAAAGAGGCTACAATTTGCAAGAGCTCACCAAAATTGAACAGTTGAAGACTGGAAAAATGTTGCCTGGTCTGATGAGTCTCGATTTCTGTTGAGACATTCAGATGTTAGAGTCAGAATTTGGCGTAAACAGAATGAGAACATGGAACCATCATGCCTTGTTACCACTGTGCAGGCTGGTGGTGGTGGTGTAATGGTGTGGGGGATGTTTTCCTGGCACACTTTAGGCCCCTTAGTGCCAATTGGGCATCGTTTAAATGCCACGGCCTACCTGAGCATTGTTTCTGACCATGTCCATCCCTTTATGGCCACCATGTACCCATCCTCTGATGGCTACTTCCACCATGTCACAAAGCTCTAATCATTTCAAATTGGTTTCTTGAACATAACAATGAGTTCACTGTACTAAAATGGCCTCCACAGTCACCAGATCTCAACCCAATAGAGCATCTTTGGGATGTGGTGGAACGGGAGATTCGCATCATGGATGTGCAGCCAACAAATCTGCGGCAACTGTGTGATGCCATCATGTCAATATGGACCAAACTCCCTGAGGAATGCTTCCAGCACCTTGTTGAATCTATGCCACGAAGAATTGAGGCAGTTCTGAAGGCAAAAGGGGGTCCAACCCGTTACTAGCATGGGGTACCTAATAAAGTGGCCGGTGAGTGTATGTAATTGGTATTACTGCTACTACTAAAATTAACTCAATGAACACAATTTTGGTGATGACTCACAAGTAACTTAAAAGTAAAAGCCGACTTTTAAAATAAAATAATAATAATAATAATAATAAAATAAAAAAGGAATGTGTTTTAAGGGATATTTCCCCCCAAAATTAAAATTCGGTCATAATTTACTCACCCTCATGTTGTTCCAAATCTGTATGGGTTTCTTTCTTTTGTTGAAAACCAAAGAAACTATTTTGAAGAATGTTGGTAACCAGACAGTTGACAGTAGCCATTGACTTCAATTGTTTTTTTCTCCTACTATGGAAGTCAATGGCTACCGCCAACT